CCCCCCGGCCGCTTCGAGGCCGCCCGGGCCCCTCCAGCGCCCATGGGTGCCGGCGCTGAGGTCGCCTGGCGGGTGCCAGCGCCGACGCCACCGCTTGTGCCCGGCAGATCGAGGAGATCGAGCGGGAGATCATCAAGCAGGAGGAGAACGTCGACCCCGACTACTGGGAGAAGCTGCTGCGGCACCACTACGAGCAGCAGCAGGAGGACCTGGCCCGCAACCTGGGCAAGGGCAAGCGGGTGCGCAAGCAGGTCAACTACAACGACGCCGCCCAGGAGGACCAAGGTGGGCACTGGGAGCACTGGGAGGGTGCCTAGGGAGCACTGGGAGGACACGGCCCGCAACCTGGGTAAGGGCAAGTGGGTGCGCAAACAAGTCAACTACAACGCCGGCGCCCAGGAGGACTAAGGTGGGCATTTGGGGTGACAAGGCGGGTATTTGAGGGGACAAGGGTGAGGATTGGGGGGGGTAACGGGTATTTGGGGTGACAAGTGTGTGAGGTGACAAAGGGGGGTATCGGGGGGGGGCAAGGATCTGGGGGTGACGGAGTATTTGGGGTCACCGTGCCGTCGGCTGTCCCCGCCCTGCAGACAACCAGTCTGAGTACTCGGTGGGCTCCGAGGAGGAGGACGAGGACTTCGATGAGCGGCCAGAGGGTGAGTGTTCCCTGCGTGTCCCCTCCGGGTCCCCTCCGGGCCCCCTGTCCTCTCAGTGCCACCTCCTGGGTCCCCTGCATGTCCCCCATGTCCCTGTTGGATCCTATTTGTCCTTGATCTCTCCTGCGTCACCCACCACGTCCCCTGCATCACTCGCCACGTCCCTTGTGATCCCTCTGTGCACTGTGTCCTCCTCCGTGTCCCCTATGTCACCCCTCTGTGGCCCCCCTCGATATTCCTTGTGTCTCCAGGATGGTAAAGAGTGGGCCGGGATGGTGGGGGAGTGTCACAAGCGGTGACACAGGGGTGACATGGGGGCCCAGGGGTGGCATGGAGGCCCAGGGGTGGCCCGGGGGCCCTGGAGTGGTACAAGGGATGACACTGGAGGGCCCGGGGGTGTCACAAGGGGTAGCCCAGGGACCCAAGGGTGCCTTGGGGGTGGCCCAGGGGCCTCAAAGGTGGCCCAGGGGCCCAGGGGGTGGCCAGAGGGGGGGGACTGACCCCAGCACCCGCTGTCCCCAGGCCGGCGCCAGGCCAA